ACAGATGGAGCAGCTGGGGACTTTAGATCCAGAGAGGGAGAGGGGGTGTGTGTTGATGACCAGGGGACAAACTTGCAGGGTTGGTTGATGATGCATGGAGGGTATTGCAACCCTGTCAATGAAACAACATATGATAGGATGAATGTAAAACTAATGTTCTCCCATGTAAACTATCACATAATTCACAACAAAACATTTTTTAAAAAAGCATGAGTATTCCGAAACACTCATGAGGAAACGGTACATAGATCAAGAGGCAGTTGTTCGAACAGAACAAGGGGACACTGAATGATTTAAAATCAGGAAAGATGTGGCCAGGGTTATATTCTTTTACCATACTTATTCGATGGGTATGCTTAGCATATAATCCAAGAAACTGGATTATATGAAGAAAAATGTGGCATCAGGATTGGAGGAAGACTCATAACAATCTGCGACAGGCAGATGATACAACCTTGGTTGCTGACAGCAAAGAGGATTTAAAATACTGATGATGATCAAAGACCACAGCCTTCAGTACACCTAATGTAAAAAAACAAAAAACAAAAATCCTCACCAGTGGACCAATAAATAACATCATGATAAATGGAGAAAAGATTGAAGTTATCAAAGACTTCATTTTGCTTGGATCAATAGTCTACACTTACAGAAGCAGACGTCAATAAATCAAACAACATGTTGCATTAGGCAAATCTGCGGCAAAGATATCAGTTTGCGAACTAAGGTGCACCTGACCCAAATCCAGCTTCATATGCAAGTGAAAGTTGGACAGTCAGTAAGGAAGACTGTAGAAGAATTAATGCATTTGAGTTATGGTGATCGAGAGGAATATTGAAAGTGCCATGTACTGCCAGAAGAACAAACAAATCTGTGTTGGAAGAAGCACAGCCAGAATACTCTTTAGAAGCAAGGATGGCGAGACTTCGTCTCTCACACTTAGAAAGTCCAGGAGGAACCAGCCTCTGGAGGACGACATTATGTTTGGTAAAGTGGAGGGTCAGTGAAAAAGAGGAAGACTCCAACAAGATGAATTGATACTGTGGCAGCAGCAATGGGCTCTTGTGTAACAATGATTGTGAGGATTGTGCAATACCAACAGTGTTTGTTCTATTTGCCTAAGGTTGCTATGAGTCAGAACCCATTGGGTGGCACCTAACAACCACCACATTGTAATTGACAAAGAGCTCTGGTAGCATATTGGGTTATGAGTTGGGCTGCTAACTGCAAGGCCAACAGTTCAAAGACACTAACTGCTCCACGGGAGAAAGATAGAGCTTTCTGCTCTTGTAAAGATTTACAGCCTTGAAAATCCTATATAGGGTTGCTATGAAACGGTCCAATACCACCACCACCACTATACTTGACATCACTAAACTGAATATTTATGACAATGTTGAATTAACGAATGTTGTGTTCTATATATATATATATAATTAAAAGATAAAGAAATAAAGAAATGGCTTCCTGGGGTGGAGTAATTTTTTTCATAGTGATTTGTTGAGTTGGTTCTGACTCATAGCGACCCTGTGTAGGGTTTCCAAGGGCTACAAAGCGATAGACAACTAATATCATTGCTTCTTCTCTTTCAACTGATATGACTTTTGGAAACGCCAAAGGACTCCAGGAAGGCCCTCTGAAAAAGGAGCAGTCATTGGGCCCATGGGAAGGGTACAGGGGGGTACAGGCTCAACTCTGGTTTCTCTGTCAGGTCAATAAAGGGGTCCAGTGATGCAGCAGTGGGCAGAAAAGGGGTTGCTGCAGGAGACTGCCCGTGAATGGCCCTGGAATCCCTCTCTTTGTCACGGTTCTGACATTCCCTGGGTAGAACACAGCCTTGCTGTCAGAAAAGCTGGGCTGCCTCACACAGTGAGTAGCAGCTGCTGCCACAGTTACGGGTCCAGACGACAGGTCTGCTTCTGTGTCCCTGATCTATGGCCTTTGAGCTTTCTGCCTATGTCCCCAATGGCCTTCCCAACACCTAGTCACCCAGATATGCTTGATGACCTCCCCCTCCCTCCAGTGCTCACTGAAGAGCAGTCTCCGGGGGCCTGGAGGTTATGAGTTTCTACCGTCCAGCTTCTCTCAAAGTAGTATCCCCACTGACCACACTGCTGCCAAGCCCAGCAGGGCCTCCTACAAGTGCCACCACCCTCAACTGAAAGGACTCTTTCTTCAAAGGCCCTGCCTGTGTGTTCAAACTGACACTGACTTGAAGACCTTTGTCCTGCCCCTTGTCACCTGCCCCTCTGCGCAGGGCCTGGCAAGAGGGAGCCAATCTCAATGTTGGTCCCACAAACAACTTTCTGTACCCCAAAGGCTCTCCATTCCTCAAATGGTCACCCTTGGGAGGCTCCAGCTAATGTTGGAAGGCTGGCCCTGGCCCAGCTCCCCCAACAGGTCCTCCCAGCAGCGGGCACAGCAGCCCAAGCTGGTCTGAGCATGTCACACAAGGTAACCAGGAGCAGGAACCCACAAAGGATAACTCCAATGGGAAGAGTGAGAGAGACTGAGGAACTGTAGTAGCTGCCTCAATTGGGGCCTCAGGGTAGAATCAAGCCGTTAGCTGTGTAACTTTGTTGTTCTTATAAAGCTGGCACCTAAAGGACAGTGGTACGAGTTCCCAAGGGAACTACCAAAGCAGAGCAAATAGTGTTGGCTTTAGTGTGTATTGGGGGGTGGGGAGATGGCCTGGAACTGGGCAGAGGGCAGGGCCCACTGTGCAGGCTGAGGCCCAGTAGCAGAGCTCTGAATGTTGGAAGCACTGAGTTGGCTTAAAATTTCAGGACACAGCAGTGGGAAGGGCCATGACAGTATCCACCCTGAGTGCCAGGGGCTGGGTGGAGGAGTCAGGATGGGTGAGTCAGAAGAAGAAAAGAGCCTGGAGCTTGGCAGCGTTCTGGAGACATGCAATAAGGAGGGCAGTGCAGGACTGAGGGGCTTGTTGGAAATCGTCTGAGTGAGGATCAGAATGAATGACAAATCGCACAGGGGTGTCCTGGTCAGGGAGGGCCTTCTTCATGCTGGAGGGACACCATGAAAATCGCAGTGTCTCACCATGGCATGGGCGCTGTGGTTGGGCGGGCGAGGATCCTATCACCCACCTTTAGCCATCACAGAGAACGGAGCCAATCAAGCCTGGATCTTGAACTCGCTGCCAGTAGTAGCTCCCAATCGTCCGCTCACTTGTTATTGGCAAAGCAAATCACGTGACCGTATCTGCGTCCACGTGGAGAAACCCACCCCCACCCCCAATAAAACCACTGACGTTGCTAAATGCCATTGAGTCGGTTCCGACTCATAGTGACCCCGTATATAGAGTTTCCAAGGAGCCGCAGACCTTGTGGTTCAAACCAACCTTGCTTTCCAGTGCTTTATCCCAAAGCGCCACACCAGGACTTCCTTTAACTCCCGCTCATAGGGACCTAGTAGAATAGAGTAGAACTGCCCAGTAGAATTTGCTAGGCTGTCAATTTTTTATGGGAGCGTCCAACCTCCTGCAGAGCGGCTGGTGGAGTCCAACTTTTAGGTAAACAGCCCAGGGGCTAACCCAAGGCGTCACCAGGGATCATCTGACCTGGAGGAGCAGTCCAGGTAAAAGTGATGACTTGCTCACTTAGACAAAAGTGGCGGTGGTAATAAAAAGTCAAGAAAAGGTTTTCACACAAAAAGAAACAATTCTTTTAAAAAAAGAAATGTTCTTTGGTGGTTGAGGGAAAGGGGTGGGAGGGCACAAAATGGTCAAGACAAAGGAAGGCCCGGAAGGTAAACTAGAGTTACAGGGGAACCAAATCAAGTGGGGGGAGGGGAAGGGGTTGGGAATTGGAGGGAAGTAAGAGCTACACAAGGGGTTGAAGGTGGAGAACCGTGATGGGTTTGGAAGAAAAGTCCTACACTGGGGCTGAGAGTTCTGAGAAGGGGGCAATGGAGGTCAGAGAAATTTAGATCTGTTTTGTAAACGTTAACAGTCCTGTTTGCAGATTCCATTCCTAATGAGAGGGATCTTTTGCTCTTTGAGAGAAACAAAGAAAGTTCTTTTAATTACGGCTCGTAAGTTTTATCTGGAGTACTTGTGTGGTGCTGTGGGTTATAATGCGCCAGACTGCAAAGCCGTTTGAATTGCAAGGTCGGCGGTTCAAGCTCACCAGCTGGTCCTCGAAAACCCTATACAGGGTCGCTATGGGTCGGAACCGACTCGACGGCACTTCACAACAACAAGTTTTATCTAACAAAGTTTCTAGTGCACCTTTAAATTTTAACTTTAGCCCAAGGGTGGAGACCCAACTCTTCATGGCTGACCTCTTTGGAAATGTTGTATGTTAGAATCTCGCATCCTCAGCTCCTGGTGTGTGTGTTAATAATTTCTTATACAGTGAGTCATCAAGAGCCTTGGATGTGGAGGGTCAAAACAGGTCATGAGTGAAGGTGGATCTGTGTTCACACAGGTCCCTTTGCGCAGTGGTGGCATGGTGGGCAGGCTCATGGTGCTCTGTGCATGGCCAGAGCCTTAATGTAGACACTGCCTCCTAGTCCTGTGTCTTTTGTCCATTCACCCGTCCATCCGTTCAGTCACCCGGGATTTATTCCACGTCTTTTCACGTGCACCCGCATCCACCAGGCTCCCTCTGCGAGTGGTGGAAGCATGAAGAGTCTGTCTCCCCAGGAGACTAGGGTGAATTGACTAGCACAGACCGGAGGGGGTAGGCGTGTCCTGGCCTCCCTCGGAGAGCCGCCTTAACGCAATTAGGGTCGAATCCTCCGGGCGACGTCACGAAAGGCGGGATCACAGGCCCTTGGGGTGTGATTTCCGTCTCTGTAGCGCCACGGGAGGCGGTGCGGCGAGCTCGTGGGGGTGGAACCTCCGGCCGGAGTAACGTCACGGGAGGTGGGGCCACAAGTTTACGGGGGCGGGATCAGGCGGCGGTCACGTAGCTCAGGTTCCAGACGCTACCGCCGCGTGAGTCTGTCCGCTAGTCTGGTCCACCCGTCAGTCTTCCGCCATCATGCCGATGTTCGTAGTGAACACCAACGTTCCTCGCGCCTCTGTACCGGACGGGCTCCTCTCCGAGCTCACTCAGCAGCTGGCGCAGGCCACTGGCAAGCCAGCGCAGGTTAGCCGGGCTACGGGCGTCCCGGGGGGCGGCGGGCGCAGAGTTCCTGGTGGGGTTGCTCCGGTGGGAATGTCGGACACAGGATGGGGCTCTGGGGATCGCAGGCAGGGTGCATAGTGGCGGTGCCCGCGGGCACGAGATGAGGTTCCGGGGGGCCGCGGGCAGGGAGCATGGGGTGGGGGAGGTGCCCCTTCAATGAGGGTGGGGGCCGCGGGCTCTGGGTGCACTACCACTGAGGCTCACAACGGCCCGAAGTTGACTTCCCATCCCACCCCCCGCAGTACATCGCGGTGCACGTGGTCCCGGACCAGCTCATGGCCTTCGGGGGATCAAGCGAGCCGTGCGCACTCTGCAGCTTGCACAGCATCGGCAAAATCGGCGGCGCGCAGAACCGCACCTACAGCAAGCTTCTGTGTGGCTTGCTGGCCGAGCGCCTGCGCATCAGCCCCGACAGGTATGGGGGGCTGGGGGGACTGGGAGGTACGGGAGACGCCTGGGGAACCGGAGGGCAAGGGCGAGTGGGGTTCCAGGAGGGCCCAGGGGGACCCTCAGAGCTCAGCGCTGAACCTAACTTCCACTCCTTAGGATCTACATCAATTACTATGACATGAACGCGGCCAATGTTGGCTGGAACAGTTCCACCTTCGCTTGAGGACCGCACCTACCTGCTGCTGCTGACTGACCCTGCCCTCTCCATTCCCAGCTAGCCCACCTCTTGGTCCTGAGAAATAAATGGTTCAAATACCCAATTGCCTCATTTTGTGGAGCCCTAGAGGGTAGAACTCTCCTAGGTACTAGTGGGGATCAGGGTCTGACTCTCAAATCTTTCTTCTCGTAGCCCTTGTGCCCAACCTTCCCCACCAAGAACCCCAGCAGAAGCGGCAGCCCTTTTCAATTCCCTGATGTTGGGAGTAGGGTGATGGGAGGGTGGCCACAGACTCAGGAATGGTACTCAAATCTTGGGCCTTCAGGCTGGACTGAGTTAAATGGGCTCCCACCACAGGGCAAACACATGAGGTACTGTGGGGTTGCACTAGCTAGAGGGCAGGGGTGGGAGGGGGCAGCTACCCCTGGATCTTTGGGAACTTCATGCTTATTTTCTCTGGACAAACGCTTTGAACCTGCTGGAACTTTGGGACTGTTTCCAGGTGAGTTAGGTGTTAGGCTGCTAACTTTAAGGTCCTATGTTCTAACCCAGCAGTCACTCCCTGGGAGAAAGGCGGGACTGCCTGCTCCTATAATGATTTACAGTCTCATGGTCGCTATGAGTTGGAATCGACTGACTCCATGGCAGTAGGTTGGGGGTTTTGTGGTTTTTTTACTGTCAGGTGGATTGGCTGGGAGAGGTGAACACAGCTCTGAAAGGCCCTCAAGGGTTGGGTCCGCCCCCTAGCACAGTGAAGATGTTGGCTCTCTGAGGGCATAGTCAGTTTCCAGGCCCAGCATAATTACAGTTGTATGACACTGGTAGACTTGTAGGCCTTGAGCTGACAAGCGCTTAGCCAGGCCCATTGTTGGAGTGCTGCAGTGTGAGCCTGCATGCTCATCAGGCCCCAGAGCCCTGGCACATGGCTCTAACAGGGAATAGCTGGTTTGGCCCTTGGTGTCCCTGTGAGAGAAGCAGTCTGCCTAGGGGGTGCTCCTCACAGAATGTACTTCATCCAGATGTGCCCTGCCTTAGTGAACCCCTGCTGCTTTTAGGTCAGCTGTTAACACTTCGCCACTCCTCACCTCTGTCTAGGCATGAATTGAGATGCTTGCACTTAGGGGGTGGGGCGGGGACAGGCTCTGGAGAAAGGGTGCTGGTTGGAGCAGCCAGCCTGTTTCTGACAAGAGGCATTGATGGTGAGGTTGGGGGCCTGTCCCTGCCCCACCTCATCACTCAAGGGTTTTGGGTGGGCCCAGAACAAGCCCCATCTTCCCTATGGGCAGCTCCAGAACAATTAAGCTCTAGGCCCAGTCTCTATTGGCAATTTCTACATGGGTCCAAGTCCACCTCTCATCATAGCCACATGAGGTCATGTGCTCCTTGGGGCCCTGGCCTAGGGGAGCCTTTCCTGTCCCCTCACTCAAAGGGAGTGGGGACAGTGGGAAGGAAGGAGAACCATAGTTACAGGCTCCTTTGGTCCCCTCACCACACAAACCCCACCTCCCCACCATTATAATAACCCCTCTGCTATACCTGTGTGGCGCTGTGAGTTAATGCGCCAGATTGCAAAGTCAGCGGTTCAAGCTCACTAGCTTCTCCTTGGAAACTATACAGAGTCTCTGGGTCAGAACCGAGGGCTCGACAGCACTTCACAACAAGCTGTCCCTGTGACCCCTGCCAGCCCACCTTTCAGGCTGCTGTCTAGTTCCCCACCTCTATCTTGTCACAGTACCCTTTGCTCTTATTCCTCCCCAGAGCCTGCCTGTGTGCCATCACCAAGAAGCTGGGCTACTTGACCTCTAGCCCAAATCTTTAATTTCACAGATACCTAACCTAACAAGGCCTCACGCTGTTAGGGGCCCGCTTTCTGTGAGCTAAAGCTGAACTCTGGTGCAACAGTTGGGCACTTGGTTGCTAACCGAGAGGTTGGTCGTTTGGACCCACCCAGTAGCTCTAGGGAAGAAAGGTGTATGGGTCTACTCTGTAAAGTTTACAGCCTAGAAAACTCCACAGTTTTGCTCTGTCACTTGTTAAGTGTCATTGAGTCAGTGCCAACTCAGCGACCCTGTATAGGGTTTCTGAGGAGCAGCTGGTGAGCTTGAAACACTGACCTTGTGGTTCAAAGTGACTTTGCATTCTAACACCTTAACCCACAGCACCACACCAGGACTCTGGTCTCTCACTAGGAGTCTAAAATCGACTCAGGGGCCCCCAACACAACATTCTGTATGAGGAATGGCTCCATCTTTTATTTTAGGAGTAAAAACTCCACTGATGGAGCACCCCCTTTATCTCATTCTGAGCACCCCTGTGTCTGTGGGCCTACTTCTGACTTACTGACCCTCCCCCCTTCTGATCACTTGCTGTGAGTCACTTGCCCCAGGAGCTTATTGGCAGACTGTCTGGCACTTGCTAGGAAAGTTGTCCCTGTAACTCTTGGAAAAACCATCCTCTCAGGCCACATCTTGGAGTCCTGGTGTGGTGGTGTGGGTTAATGCGCCAGACTGCAAAGCTGTTTGAACTGCAAGGTTGGTGGTTCAAGCTCACCTGCTCCTCGTAAACCCTATATAGGGTTGCTATGGGTTGGAACAGACTCAATGGCACTTAACAACAGACCACATCTTGGTCCCATTCATGTCCCTCACCATTCTCCAAGATCTAGCATCTCCCTACTTTCCTCAGTTTCCCCTACTGCCTGTCTTCCCACCCTTTGGGCCCTCCTCTCAGGGACTTTGCCAGTTATGTGTGTGGCTGCCTATATACAAGACCCCAGGGACCTCTGAGCAACTCGCCTCAGCAATGGATGAACTACTCTCTTGTACATCAGTAAAGAAGCAGCAACTGAATCCAAAGTTTTCTGCTAACTCTGATTTAGCACGTCTTGAAGGGTACCAGACTCCTCCAGGAGGAGATTCCTTATCTTCTGCCAGCCAACTCTGGAAGGAACCCCCGTCACCATCTTATCTGTTCCTGTAATAGCCATGCCTGGCCATCCAACTTGGTGGGAATGTCAAGGTGTCTCAGAATGTCCTGAAGGTCATCCTGTTGTTAAGTGGATTCCAACCCATAGCAACCCTGTATAGGGTTTCTGAGGAGCAGCTGGTGAGCTTGAACCGCCAACCTTGCAGTTCAAACGGCTTTGCAGTCTGGCGCATTAACCTACAGTGCCAAACCAGAACTCCCTTTACTATCTGCAGCTGCAAGCCACCGGAATAAGAATTCACCATCTTCTGCTGGATGCTAATTGCTTCAACACACCCAGGTTACATCTTCAACAAACTCAGGCTTGCTTTTGCATCAACTAGGAGAATTGTAAGCAGAGGAAATGATCTTTTCTCCACTGAAAATCAAATTGCTGCCATTTTTTAAAGTGTTGGAATTATAGGCTATACACCATGAGTAAAACTATAGGAAAGAAAACAAAACAAAACAAAGTAGAGGAAGTAAGCAAACAATTCAAAATTATGTTGCCCAATTTTGATGATAATGAGATTGATTGACTGGTTTGGTGCCTAGCAATAGACCCATGTTGTGCAAAATTCGACAGAGAAAACCAAATCATGTGAGCACTAAATCTATGGGGAGACCAACCTTGTCCGTAGATTAAAGGCAATAGTCTAATGATATCACTTCTATCCAGTTCATAATTCAATATAGTCTCAGTTGAAATTCCAAAGGATTGTGAAATGGAATTTGGCAACCCAATTCTAACATCTGAGGATCAGGATCCAAAGGGCCCCCCAAATAAATCCAAAATATGGTCTGAAACACAAGAAGGAAAGACTTGCTTGCCTAATGTAAAGATTTGTCACTAACCATTGTTAAGGCAAGATGGAAATCAGCCTAGGGACAGACAAAAGACTAACAGAAAATAGAACAAGCCCACAAACTGACCACTCCACACACACATATGTAGGTGAGACAGCACTGACATTTATACCAAAGGAAGAACTGTTCAGTTAGGGGTACGGGCAGCCGCATAGCCATGGGAAAAGAGATCAAACTGGTTTCTTGTTTTGTGCCATACCCCCAAATCAATTTTACATGGATTATAGCTGAAGGAGTGACCATGAAGATCTTAAACCATCATATAGAAGAATATTATCTTAAGGATTTCTTATGATACAAAAACCACATACCACTGAGGAAAAGAGGAACATATTTTACATTCATATCAGTTAAGAGACCATTAAAAGGGTGAAAAGTCATGAGTCAGTTTTTGCAACTAACTAATTGTTCTGACAAAAGGTTCATATCCAGAACATAAAAAAAGAAACTCCTGCAAGTTGGTAATTGTTGTTGTTAGGTACCATGGAGTTGGTACTGACTCATAGAGACCCTATGCACAGCAGAACAAATCACTGTCTGATCCCGGGCCAACCTCACTACTGCTGCCATACTTGAGTCCATCGATGCTGACACTTGGCCAATCCATCTCGTTGTCTCGTTGGGGGTCTTCCTCTTTTTCTCTGACCCTTCACCTTTCCAAACATGATATCCCTCTCCAGTGACTGGTCCCTCCTGACAATATGTCCAAAGTATGATATACAAAGTTTGGCCATCTTGGCCTCCAAGGAGCACTCTGGCTGCACTTCTTCCAACACAGATCTATTGGTTTTTTGGCATCCCATGGCACTTTCAATGTTCTCCACCAACACCATAACTCAAAGCATCAATTCTTCGACGGTCTTCCTTATTCACTGTCCAGCTTTTGCACGCATATGAGGTTATAGAAAATACCATGGCTTGGGTCAGGCACACCTTAATCCTCAGGCTGACATCTTTGCTCTTCAACACTTTAAAAAGGTCTTGTTCAGCAGATTTGACTAATGCAATACGTCGTTTGATTTCTTGACTGCTACTTGCATGAGTGTTGATAGTTGATCCAAGAAGTATGACGTCCTTGACAACTTCAATCTTTTCTCCATTGATAAGAATGTTGTTTATTGGTCCAGTGGTGAGGATTTATGTTTTCTTTACATTGAGATGTAATCCATACAGAA